GCTTTGTTTTTGATTTGTTGTCTGTAGTTGGGACCCTGAACCATCCTTCACATGGTTTGAAAGGCAGACTTTCAGGTTTTCTTAGATTCGTATGTGTGGCTCCTCTATGTGCAAAGTCATCCATAACAATATTTGGCATGTGTGTCCAAGACAGCAGGATGTCAGTGAAGTCAGGTGGGCTTTCTGCTGGAATGTTGCACTTTATATTATGTGCACTACCACATGGGGTAAAATGCAGTTAGCGCTGTTTAACAGACCTTGTGACTTGTCAGAGGACGGACAGAAGAGGCATAACTGATGATTCAGGTTCATAAAGTGTCGTCGTAAACTATGACAGAGAACAAGTTTGCCCAAATGCGTTGACTCTACTAAGAGGATTGCAGCCAGCATGAATACACCTCTGCTTTCTTGACTATGACGAATTCTAATGCAGTGAAAAAAAACGTCTGAAATGTTAACATAATTAAACTAGATGATAGGGCATTTTTTAAAAAGTGACCCTTGACCTCTAGAGGAGCTATTTTTGCACTGATTGATCCCAAAATCTGATCATTCTGAGGAGAGGCCATTCATAGCTCAGCTGTACAATATGAGCTTGTTAGAGCGAGAGCCGGTTCACGGACGGACGGACAGACAGACAGACAGACAGACAGACAGACAGACAGACAGACAGACAGACAGACAGACGGGACCCCTGGTCAGGAGCAACTGTAAATAGTAAAATGATGAATATTAAATAAACATTCACACTGACTGTTATTCCTGCCTTGTGTAGCTGACAGACAGTGATCATTTTAATATGCTGTTATCATCTTATGAAGTTTCTTTAATATGCTTGCTATAGTTAATGATCATCAAAATGGCACCATGACTCACTTAAATGAGCAAACAAGCTAACAGTTGGTTTAGCTCGCAGGAGGCTGTCATTTGTCTGAACATAGTTTGCTTCTCAAATTTTGGCAGGTTGACAGTAGCTTTGCTGTACATGTTTTAAATCAATAAAAGTTTATTTCCAGTCAGTTCTAACGCTGTGACGGTTGTCCACCAAGGCGAGAAATGATAGAAATTATTCTTTTGGCATCCAACTGAGTAAGTGACACAACAGCACAGACAGGTCCCTGTCGAGTGCGACCCTTGAAGTGAAGACTGCGCAGCTGCAAATACACTCAACTCTCCTGAGTGTTGAAACAGCGCCATCAGCCCGTTGACTGTGTGATGTGGCTGAAAGTGGTACTGCAGGACGTGGACTGGACAGTTCCATGATGAACATGACCAGAGATGAAGCGCTCTGATGATTGACATTTCCAGCAAAAGGAAAGCAGGAAGCAGCGCTACAGCTACATGTGTGTCCAGAAGAAATAAATAAATACAGATTATCCCACAGTCCACCTCAACAAGCAGTCCAGAAGTGATAAAAGTCCAAATTTGATGGATAATTGATGAGAACTGTTAAGAAATGAGGCAGCAGTACCCATCATTCCACGGGGCAGGTTCAGGAGCATCAAAGCTAAAAGGCTAATTTGAAAAGTAAAGCAGCTGGAACAGTGAAAAGAGTATCTGGGGACTGGATATGACAGGGAGAGTGTAGGAAACTCAGAAATTTACAGATAAATGTGTCAACACCATCACCATCTGGGGACCACATCAGAGCCCTATAAATAGCAGGCGAGCAGCTTGACTTTTCAGTGGGTAATAGTTTTCTTTCTTGCACCCAGCCTGGTTTTGTGCATAATTTGCCTTGTAAGTCATGTTATTGGTGATGGGTAAAATGGTAAAATGGCAGAGTCGGATCTCCGTTTGATCAGATCAATAAATCAGATCAGTCAAGGTCGTTGTCACAATTTGCAGCTAAACACAACATTATTGGGTTTCCTTTCATGCTGTGACATTCCATGAATTCAGGTCTTAATTAATGTGGTAATTCCTATTTCATGATCCAGACCTGGTTCAGAAACTTGTCAGTTCCTCCTTGTACTAAACAGAGACCAACACGGACTGTCATCACCTGCTCTCACACACATTTCTGTGTGTCTTTTGTCTGTGTTGCTGAATATTTCAGTGCCAAGGAATGAAATGAAATGAAATGAAAAATACTTTATTTATCCCAGAAGGGAAATTCAATATTGTAGAAGCTCACTTTTAAAAAAAATCAATATAACATATATTTTATACAACAATAATAATAATCATTATATAATAATAATAATAATCAAATTGTCAAGGATGAACAGCACATAACAATAATACACATAAAAATAGAAATAGACGAGAAATAATTTAGGAGGGCAGTACTTGAGATAAAAAAAATGAAGTTTAGAAATTGGTCTAAAATTTTTAAGAACAGAGGGATCGAGATCGGGTTTGTTTAAAAGAGGATGGAAAAATGTCACTCGTTAAGGAGCTGTTTATGATCTATAAAATATTGGGCCCAACTGTGTCAATAACGTCTAAAGAAATTTTGTGGGGTTGACATCAAGGCTGCATGTGGTTGATTTCATATGCAAAATTATTTCAGCTAGAAAGGACAAAAACACTGCTTCAAACCTGCTAAAATAGTGATAAACATCTCTACTAGAATTTAAAACACAGTCTGGGATGAAATTAGTTGCCTTACATGCTCGACTTTGTTTCAGAAGTCATTAAAAAACTTCTTGCATGTCAAAAGAGAGGGGAAGGAGGAGGTAATTGAGTCTGTTACCTTGAACAAAAGTCTGTGGTTAGAATGACTGGATAAAATCACATTAGAAAAGAAAAGTGTTCTTGGTTCTTTAACTGCCTTTTGGTAGGTCACCATAACCTCTTTCCAAATCAAGTAAAATACATGTAAACCAGTCTTTTCCCATCTTCTTTCCTTTTTCCGACAATCTGTCTTCAGCTCCTTGGTGGTTTTACTTCTCCGGGGCTGCGGTAATTTCTCAGATTTTTTGATCCTGAAGAGGGCAACAGAGTCAAGGACGGTTATGATTTAAAAAGGAGCCCAGCGTCTGTGTGTTAAAATGAGTTAGTGGTAGGTAAAAAAAGCAGTAGTAAAATGCTCTAGCGAACAGAGAATACATTCAAAACCCGACAGTGACCGGGTGTATCCTTGTAGACAGGTAGGTGAGATAAAACAACACTGAATAAAACCACCTTACTGTCAGACACACAGATATCCTTGGTCCTAATGTGGTTGGGGCTGAGTTCACTGTATAAAACAGGTCAAGGATGTGACCTTCCAGATGTGTGGGTTCATGTACTGCCTGCATGAGGATAAAATATTCCAAAGTATCCAAAAAAAATTGTCTGAGATGGGCAGCAAACATGTATGTTAAAATCACCTAGGATAAGAATTTTGTTACAGTGACACATTAAATGTGGTTTTGTGCATAAATCGCCTGTTGTAAGTCATATTATTGGTGACATTTTTCTATATTTCTGACTCAAGGATTCCCATGGAGGTATGTTTTTGTGCTGTTCAGTGATTAAGTGTTTATTTTGACAACAACTGATCTGATCTAAACGTAACTATTCCGTATAAAAATGTTTATTTTGACAAAAACTCACTTTAGAAGACTTTGACATAGTACAGATATCGTTTGCTCCTTTCTTTATGTTTTAAAGATGATTTAACTAATGTTGGTCATTTTTTTTCAACAAAGACTTGGAATGAATTTCATTAGGGTGTAAAGTGACAGAACAGGATTTTCACTCAGCACCTTTTAATCAGATCAATGGATCAATAGAATAGATCAATAGATCAACCTGCAGTCAAGTCTGTTGTCAGAACTTGCAGCTGAACACGCTGCTGTCTTGTGTTCTTTCTCCTGAATTCTGATCCTAATTTATGTGGTTACTTCCTTTTTCATGCCCATTTCTAACCTGGTTCAGAAAGCTGTCAGTTCCTCATACTGAACAGACAAACAGGGACGATTATCACCTTCTCTCACGCGCATTTCTGTGAATATTTGGTCCATGTTTTCTCGGTGGGGCTGCAAGGTGGATCAGTGGTTAGCACCGTCGCCTCTCAGCTAGAAGATCCCTGATTCGCTTCCTGATTAGGACGCCCGGGATCTTTCTGCGTGGAGTTTGCATGTTCTCCCTGTGCAGCGTGGGTTCTCTCCGGCTTCCTCCCACACAGTCCAAAAACATGTTGAGGTTAATTGGTGATTCTAAATTGAATGTGAGTGTGCTTGGTTGTCTGTCTCTAAGTGTAGCCCTGTGATAGTCTGGTGACCTGTCCAGGGTTTCCCCTGTCTTCACCCTGAGTCAGCTGGGATAGACTCCAGCCACCTGCAACCCTGGTGAGGATTAAGAGATGTATTGATAATGGATGGATGGATTTTCTCGGTGGCTGAGCGGTCAAAGCTGCAAGCTTGTAACTTGCATGTTATCGGTTTGAATCTGGTGAAGACAAACAGTCCACATACAGTGCAGAGTCCATTGTCTTGAAAACAGTGATTTAACTGAGTGCTCTTGATTCTCGATGGAATAGTCTTGATCCTCACAGAAACTTAACACAATCTGTCTTCTATTGGCTGAATAGGTGATGTGGTTTAAAATGTGTTTCTTTTTACACACATTGGCCTCAGAGTCCTCTGTGTCCTGGTTCCAGCATACATCCTGTTGAAGGCTCATTCAAAGACCCAGAGTGACGATGTCCATGGTGTCTGAACTCACCCCGTGTTTCTGCACTTTGCAGCGTAACTGTATGATTTCTAGGTTGATTCAGTTTTGCAGCACATTGGGGATGCTGGAGATTTAAGTAGAGACTTTGTAAAAGGTTTGAGTCATTCAGCTAGAGAACAAAAGCAGTTCAACAGCCTGATTTTAGGAGACTTTTCATAACAGATGTTGATTTAATGGTACTTCATCCGTAAGAGTCAGTGTCAGGAAATTTTCCTTTGCACAGAAAAAGGATTCCTTTTTCTCAATTATAGAATACTTGTATTGATTTGCATATTTTTTTCTGAATGAGTTGCTTCTCTGCAAAGTAAGTAAATCAACAAATCTGCTGCACACAGTTGCAAATTAAAACGTTTATTTCAAATTCACAGCTTTTTTTTGTCAATACTTGAAGCGAAACATATAAGAATAGGAATTATTGTTAGAAAAATTATAAAATTAAGCTTTTGCAGGAGGCACAGAACAGTCTATAGATGAATATACAGCTTGTCCCTTAAAGTGACTGTTGCTCTGATCAGAATGAAATGTTTTTAACATCATCATGAGCGCTTTCTGAAGATACTGCATGAAGCTTTTCATGTGATTATATTCACTGTGAATTTGTTGTAGGAGTGATACATGAGAGAGAGAGTGAAGGACTTGAGTTCAACTGTGGTAGTTGCAGGGCTGCAGCAAGCAGCTCAGACGCTACTGATGGTGAACATTCAGAACTTCTCACTGCTGACTACTGGGCTGAAGGGTTTCCCAGGGTCGGCCATGAAAGCCTCGATCTCCTCCACTGTGCGAGGGACGCAGGTCAGCAGCTCGATGCCGTCCGCTGTCACTGCGATGTCGTCTTCAATGCGAACCTGCGCACAGTTGTGACACAGTGGTCAGTGAAACGCAGTGGAATCAAAGCAGGAGACGGTGAAAAGCAAACTTAGTCAAGAGAAAAATGCAAACAGACAGAAGAATTCAAATGCTGGATGTGAGCTGGATCAGTCAGTGAAAAATCTGTATGGCAGGAGCAACATGAAGATACATGAGCAGCTCAACTCTGATGCTCCTTATGGACAAATCCTACTTTATTAGTAATGAGAAGTTCAACATAGAAACTATGAGTCATAATGTATATGGAAATGTCTCGTTGGCCCTGTACAAGGATCATTGGATGTAGCGCATTGACAGGCCTCAGCAATTACGTTGGTCAATCAAGATTTCATAATTTTTTTTATTCCAATAGACTTGCCATTAATATTATAGCTCTGGCAGAAAATCCATGATTTACATGAAACATTCAAAGTGTGAGAACCCACACATAGATTTCCTTTAGGATTTATTAAAAATACTTGGTTTCCCATGGAGTTCCCCAGGACTGTACTGGCCATCTTTGGAGTCTGTAGGCGTGTGTTTAATCTTGCTCAATTGAAACGGCTGACAAATTCAACATTTCAGTTTTGTAGCTGGAATGGCAAAGAAACTCGAGGTTTGCCAACTTCTGACACTCTTGGGGACATCGTGACGCCTGAATAGCTGGATGTCAGTCTGGAGGGAGAGGAAATGTCTCCTGAGATGACAACTTTAGCTTAATCTGAGCCACAAATTTGAGTTTTTCAAAGATATTCTCGAATGATTAAGCTATTTTTTTTTAATGTACTTTCCAAAGCTCTAGCCAACAGGTTTGGCAACTTACAAGAGATAATATTCCCTGAAATAAAACAAAAAGCGTTGCAGTGCAGGATTTTTCTCCCTGATCCTCTGGTGCCTGCCGGCTGGGCCGCTTGTTGTATTGCCTGCATAGTAGAAAGTAATTTGATTTGAGCTCTTTTTTAGTCCCTTTATTCAAACATTGTGGAGTGAGGAGCTGTTGTATGTTGCCTTTTGACAACATCATCTCAAACCTTTGGTATTTTTCTCCTGTCCTTACATATTCTTTTTGTGTAATGATCATTTTTTGCTGCCAACTGAAATCAAATTGTAGTAAAAATTGTACACAACGATTAATTAGTCATTCAAATGATGAATGATTGTATTGTCCTTCTGTTCATTTCATGCCACTATTGGTTTTAGATTAGTAGTATTGGTGCCTGTGACTTCCCCATGTTTTGACCAAACCAAATAAATCAAACCCGGCACACTGACCCCTCCGAAGCCGCGGAAGCGAGCCAGCACTTGGTTGTTGATGAAGCAGCTCTGGGCAGGGTTGGCCAGGGCCTGGTTCAACAGGTGGTTGATAAAGTATATGCCAGGCTCCACGGTGAGGACCATCCGCTCCTGCACCAGACGTCCCATCCGAAGACTCCTCAGTCCTGGCTCGTCAATACGCTCCACCCCCTCCATTAACACAAGAGAACAGTATTTTTTTAACATCTTTGTTCAGGAAGTAGCCTCCGTTCAGCCAGGGCTGCACATCTCTTAACTCTCCTACTACCTTCAATTTACTGACATCTTTGATCCTTGGGGTCAGTTTGGCCCCAGCAATTTAAACCTCCACACAAATATCATAATTAAAATGGTTTATGTGTAAATAGCCCTTTAAATAAAACTGAAAAAAATATGTCAATCATTTATTTAGAGACATTAAACATTGACTGGGGTCCAACTGACCCCAGAGATAATAGGAGGGTTAAAAGTACATTTTATCGATCAGTCTGACTTCTATGTATCTAGTTGTATACATTTCATTGATATAGAATGTAACGCAAACAGCTTCACACAACAAAACATTATTTTTTTTCTGTAAAGTGGAAAAAAAAAAAAGATAAAGCAGGCTAAAGTGAAAAGACAAATAACAACAATCTGTTTAAAGCCAGACTTGAAGGGAGGCATTGAGTTTGTTTTTAAAAAATATCAACCTTCTCTGCTGCCCTCGGGTCGTCAGGAAGGCTGCTGCACGAACATGGAGCGTAATAACAAAAGGATGCCCCGCTGTGGGTTTTTGTTCTGACTTTGGGTAAAATTAAAAGGCCACAGAAGACCCGAGGGTTCTGCGAGGTTCTTAGAATAAAAGGCAAATCTGATAAACAGGAAGGGCCAAGATCATTAAGAGTTTTATAAACCAATAAAAGGATGTGAAAATCCATTACGAAGCAGACAGGTAGCCGGTGCAGAGACCTTAAAAACCGGGTAAAGTGCGCTCGCCTTCTGTTCTTAGTCAACACATATGCAGCTGAGGTTTGAAGGAACTTCATACATCCAGGATATTGTTGAAGTGTTAAATATTGTTTTATGACTTGGCTCTTTGCAGCACCATATCCCAGGCTCTATCTAGCAGCTTACGATAAAGATTTTCCCAAATGTTTCCACTTCAGGCAACACTGATTACAGATGAATAAGTCAGCAGCTCTCTTGTATGTCAGACTGTCGTTCTCACTAAAGGTAGCCAACAGTATTGTTTGTCACGTATCCACAAACTGACTAAGCACTGTATTCAACTCAGCCCTACCTCAGCGTGTTTCCCTTTCTGTCACTTTCTGCTGGTAAAAATTCAGCAGCTCTAGTGGAAATACTCTGGGTTAACCGACTTCTCTATTTTCTCGTCAAAAATGCATTTCTGTGGAGCTTCAAACTGCGTCACAGCATGAAGCCTTGTGCTCAGACATCATTTCACCTTCCTCTCTCTCCTGCCCTCTTCCTGAACTAGTTGCTGCAGCTTGGCCTTTTTGTTCCTCTCTCACTTCTGCACCACAGTCCCTCTATATTATTGATGACGCATCAATATTCCAGCAACAGGGTTGTGTTTTCATCTTCTGTCTGCTGACTGTTCCAGCCCTAACTTGCTGGCTACTGAATGTGATGTGGGCAATCAAACTGAAGTGTTCTGCTCTCACCTCAGGGTAGCCTCCCACGTCGTGCACGTCGATGCCCAGCAGGTGTCCCAGGCCGTGGGGCATGAAGACGGAACCCAGGTGGATCTTCACCATGTCGTCCACGTTGCCGTGCAGGATGCCGATCTTCACGAGCTCCTCCAGGTGAACCCTGTCGGCCAGGCGGTGCATGTCGGACCACTTCACACCTTCAACACAAACATTCTTTGTTGATGAAGAACGAAAGTGTTCTTTACCTTACCCTTAAATTTCGGTATGCACGCTGATATCGTAAAGCTAAAACCTTCTCATCATGTACGATTCGAAAGCCAGGCTTAGTTTTACTTAGTCGGGTAAATAACAGAAGTTTTTTGGCATGCAACTATATTTAGCTGCACTATAAACCCTGGAAATTTAAACTATTTAAGAACTTTAAGAAGGCAGATTTTTATAAATGCAGCAGAACAACAAGCACTCAACAATGTGCTGTTTTATTTGAAGAGGACAGAAGATCTACTTCATTTACTTTCCTCGCTGATTTTTCGCAGCTAAGTGTCCTTAGTTAAACTGTAAAGACGTTAACCTGGTTTGATGGCAGCCAGGACGGCGCGGGAGGATTTTAGGACGGCCTCGTAGATGGCCCTCTGGTCGGCAGTGAACTTGCCGTTGGCTGGGAAGGAGCAGGTGATGTCTGAGGAGTAGCAGTAGTACTCTCCACCCATGTCGAACAGACTGCAGGGGACAAAACATCAGAGCTCATTAGGTTGAATTTATTTCCAGAGTGCCTTGGGTTTGTTCGTGTTCCCGCGCGACAAATATTCACATCAAACTTGCACTGTAAAAAAAACAAAACACAATGCTGGTTGAGGTTGGAGTTGGTTGCAACGATGCAGCAGCTCCTTGTTTGGGAGAATCTGTAGTTTGTGAATGACAGAGGTGATGAAAGTTAGAAAGCACTGTAAGCTACTCACCACATGTCTCCATCCATAATCGTCTTGTCATTGGGAGCCCCAGCGTGGCCGTAGTGGAGGACAGAGGAGTTGTTGCCCCTGGTGGGAATAAACAAGGCAAATGTTGCACACACACACATATGAATAACTACTAAACTACAAGGTGGAAACTGCACTGAATGTGAGCACCTTACAGCATCATAGGGATTCTAGTCTCATGTTTAAAGCGCTTAATTTAAAAATGACTTGCATCCACAGACCACAAATCCCTCGGAGGTGTTCACATGGCCTTTAATACGAAAGGCCAGAGCATAATTAGCAACAGTGTCTGACAGTTCCTCGACCCTTATTGATGATGTTAGTTGGCAATAATCCTTCTGCAGTTCCTCTGCACTGTAAAATGTGCATTCTGTGTTTAAATGCGTGACAGTACTGCAGTGCCGCAGAGGCTTAAACTATCATCATATTTAATGTTTCTAGTATTTTTTTGCTTTTTCATCAGTGCTCAGCCTAACAGAGGAAGACAGCATCTGACGCTCCAACATCAAAGCTGTGTTCATTAACGGCACCGTGCTCATATACATCAGTTAGGTACTTGGCAAGTAATCAAGGAAAGTTGGAAATGAAACGGGTAAAGAATCAACTCCTAAAGCCTTACGTTCCACAGATGCAGGTGTACGAGGTGTGGCGCATCCCTCCTTTGGTGTAGCAGTAGTGCTGGAACAGACTGCACAGAAACAAAAAAAAAACCCTCTTTCAGTAAAAGAAGCCCAGTACCAAAAAGGAAACTAAGAAATTTCAGCACAGCAGAGATCAGAGAAAACACTGATTAGCTGAAGGACTTTCGCTGCCCTCTTCCTGACTCCGTGCTTTTTAAGAATTCATTCAGCACTCATTCTTTAATCATCACACGGTCAAGCACATCAAACACTTTTATAGATCTCAACAGCATCGCAAAAGCTGTGCAGGACGACAGGCCCACGTTTTGGGCTTCTTCTCACACAGTGAAGGCAAATGAGCATGACGGGAAGCTGCTCAGACACGCCATTACTAAAAGGAAACACCGCCAGAAATCTTACTAAAAAATACAAACATGAACAAAATAAACTGAAATATATTTTCGTGTTTTGCACAAGCAACCTCATCGTGACCTGAAAAGCTACAAGCAACCAATTATGGGCAAGTTGTGTTTCTCTGTTTAAGTTTTCGGTGAATCAGAAAATGCCACTCGTGTTTCCAACTTTGCCAAAACTTAAGTTCTGAATCTACATATTAATAACTTGTCTGGCTGGCATTTAAATCTAGATTTTGGAGTATATTTACTTGAATTCTTTTGTACCTGCAGCACACAGTAAAGTTAACCCAACAGTCCCTGGTCTGTGAGTGTTTCTACAGACCCATAAGGGCGGCTGTGGCTCGGGTGATAGAGTGGTTGTCCTCTAATCACCGGTTTAATCCCCCGCCCCTCTACAGTCGAAGTGTCCTTGGGAAAGACACTGAACCTGAAGTTGCTCCTAATAGCATGGCAGCTCTGTCACCATTGGTGTATGAATGTGTTTGTGAATGAGTGAATGAGAAACATTGTAAAGCGCTTTGAGCACCACTAAGGTAGAAAAGCGCTATATATGTGCAGAGCATTTACCATGGACCAACAAGTGCTTACTGCTCCTGTAATAATAATAGAGTTAGTGGAAGATCAACATGCACTGGGGGTGTGACATTTCTGAACCAGTAGTTAAAACTGCTTAATTATCATCAACTGCTGCTCATTTCTCATGTTAAATATAAAGGTTTACCTAATTACATTTTACCAAATACCAACTGTGAGACTATAGCAGCTGCATCAGCCCAATGCCCCAGTGAAGGAGGAAGGGTTAACTTGCATTACATGTTGATACCATGAAACTATTTAAAATTAACCTCAATTCTGATAAACACTGTAGATCTAACCAGACATACAAAAGAGCAGACAGACATCAAGTTTCCATTTGATGAACCTTAATAGAAAAATAGAAAGAAAACAAGAAGATCCACTGAAAAAATGCCACACTCACCTCTCCATTTCATATTCTTTTTGTCCAGGTTTCACCTGCTTCATGATCTACAGAAAAAGTTTTGATTAGATGTATGTATAAAGCACCAAACTCTATTTTCTGACTGCAGCATGACACAAAATGACTGACCCTCTGTAGTGTGACTGCTATCACTTTATAATGTAGTTTCAGTAATTATTTGTTCTTTACTTGTAATTTATATGCAAAATTGATATCTAATGTTTTTCTTCAGCAACTGCATTATTCAAGCACAGCCTGCAGGATTTATCTGTACAAAATAGGAGATCAAATGTCCACGACAGCCGGTTATTTGGGAGACAGTTTTTTCGTTTTACAGCATGTAACTGAAAATCTACCAGGATGGATGTCTATGGGCACTGGAAACTAATGATCACACTTATAACAACCGGGGAACAACAAGTGGCAAACAACACTAAACGCTCACAGTGAGTGATTTCAGAGGACAGATAACATTATGAGGTTAACGGCTCCTCAGCCCCCGAAGAGCTTATTCATTGCAATAAAGCGAAATCCTGTGCAGAAGTAAAATATTGCTTTAATGTTACAGCTTATTGGTCAAAGGCTATCTTGGGTAACTGCTGTCCTCCGAGCTACTGCAGGAAGTTAAAATCAATAGCATTTAAACTATAGCCTTGGAGCATCCTGACATCTTCAATCCTTTGGGCGAGTTTTAAACTCTAATAAGCTTTTTGATACTTTAGGTGTTTAATTTCATGCTCTGAACTTTCTTCCTGTTCCTTGCGTTCATCGTTTTATAAATGCAGCACTTTGAGCAACTTTACAGATGGTCTGTCGAAGGAGAGAGAGAGGATCTCACCATTTTGTGGGCATCACTGGAAATCCTGTTGGTGTAGCGCAGAACCTCCAGCTCCATATCCGTCTTTACGAGGCGGCTGCAAACACAGACAGCAGCAAGAAGTGAGTAACCAGCTCTGTCTTTTTGATTGGTGATATCGATGCACAGTAAAATGGATGAACAGCCAAACGGTACACAAAATTCAACTCTCACATTAAGCTGCAATATCGGTGCTGCAGCAGCTGAAACAGACGTTTTGATCTTCATCTGTTTAATATACACGGCTAACACAGAACCTGATGTAGAAACCAGACGTTGGGCAGCTTGTCATCAATCATTCTCAGGACTGCTGTTTAGTTTCAACTAGAAACTTTTCTGTCTACTGTCACAGAGCTGCTGAGACTGTTTCAACACACACCGAAGTGTACCGGAGTCTTTGATTTAAAGTTTTTTTTTTTTGCCTGCTGATTCACACCTTTTTCATTTATTTGTGTGCACCTGAGATGGCTGGATACGGGAAAGAATTAAGGATTTCTACAATAATAGAAGCAAACAAATAACACAAGGCAGTGGTAACCAATAGTAACGCTAATGAAAGTTAAAAGAGAGCCGTGCGAGCTGCAGCGCGAAGAGAGGGGCAGAGGGTTCAATCAAGCCTCTCTCCCCAGGAGGTGTGCCTGAAAAGCATTCCTTCTTATTTCAGAAAATGTCAATTCATCTGGAGGGTGCAAACTCTAATGCCAAGGACATCCAGGCAAGCACGAAGTCTATTACATCTGTGCAGACTGACTTCTGACTCTGAGAAGGAGGGAAAAAAAAAAAAAAACCCAAACCAAAGAAACGTCCTTGTTTCTGATTACAGACACGAAATTACCTGACTGGGCAGCTGTGATTGCCAACGTTTGTGAAAATGTGAAGAAACATTTAGGCAATTACGGCCTTTATTCTCTTCTCAAGTGGACTTTCTCATCAGTACTATAAGACGTATTGTAATTACTTACCATTCCACAATGACTGGGTGTACAAGAGTGTTGTTCACTTGGAAACTGAAAAACAAAAAAAGAACAAGAAAGAGCAACATTACACACTCAGCAGCCAATTGATTAGGTACTCCTGTCATATCTAATGCAGTACAACAGCTTTGCCATAAATTCTGCTTTTATGAAGCTTCTACATTTTCAGATTTTGTTGAGGTTGTCAAAAAGGTGGTGAGTCTTTGGGTTTTTATTCAGATCATTGTAGGTGGAGGTGGTTTGCAAAAAGAGATAATTCCATTTTTGTAGATTTTCAGAAACCTACTATTTTTGTTGTTTGCTTGAGATAATATCAGTCAAACTGAAGTTGAGTGGATTTGACTCAGTGGAAATGACACAACAAAAATAGAGATAACTTAAGTTTGATTGTCTCGGTAGACGATGGAAAAGTGGGTTTTCTGAGGGTTTGTTGGAGTTACCTGTTTTGCAAATGAACTCTTCAAGTGTTGCTAATATTTTGTCACCTTCACCAGTCACAGTATTAAACATAAAGAGCAGGACCTTTTTGACAACAAACACTAAATGTAGAAGCTTCATCAAAACAGAGTTTATTGGAGAGCTGTTGTACCGGATTGGATTAGACAACACAGGTACGTTTAATGAAGCGTCTGGTTAGTGTTCATTTAAATACAATTGGATGTACGAGACCTCTCTTCTACAGTACTTGGGGTCACATTAATCAGATGAAAATGGAAACTACATGCAGACAAGGAAAGAACAGAGACCAGTGTTAAGGGCAACAGTAACGCTGCTTTTAATCGACAACTAACAAGCAAACAACAAGTTTGCTTGCTTAAATAAATTATAATCAGAATTGGGTTAATCAGCGACAATCAGCAAGCATAAGAGTCTGTTGCATCTCTGGTTATAAATGGAAATAAAACAACCTCTACAAACAAAATATAATTATGTTAATGCAAATCGATGCCAATTAAACGTACCGACTAATTCCTTCAAAGGAGGCTTCACGGCAGATGCTCCCACTGTCTGTGTTCAGTCCTCGCTGCGGGAAGAAAAACAACATAAAAACTAGCGATTACATCACCACCATTGAAACGTTAAGACAGGGCGTTAAATTGATTAGTGGTGGCTGGAATTAGTAGATGGAGTCTACATTTATTCTCATATCGCATTGTTAGCGGCGGATCAATGTGATAATTGGGGTTTTTAAAAGATGATCCTGTTCAAAAGAAGATCGTTTGCGCTAATACTCAAAAACCAACTGGAAAGATGTTTTGATTTTTGACATTATGAGTAAGTTTTAAGCTAAGAAAGAAAGGTTCAGTAGGGAGACTAAGTTGAAGCTGCTTCCCCCCTCCATCACTTTAAGATCCGGTTCTATGATCAGTCACCAGTTAACCAATGAAACTATGATTAACGGCAACAAGGCAGGAATAAGTGACGCGTACCAGTGTGAGGAGAACTGCCGGCTTCAGGTTGGACAGGACATCAGCAATCTGCAGACAGGGAATAATTAGAAGACTCACAGTAGAGAAGCAGAAGAAAAAAAACAAGCAACAGTTCTTTCTTTCTACATTCAGTCTGCAGAATAAAGGTCATTCTTGCAGGCGCCACTGTGCCTCCGTGGCCTCTCCACTATTCAGCAGCGCACTGAATGACAAAACTCTAGAGACTTTATTACTCCTCTGCCACAGCCTAAATGTCACATAACAGATCCCTGACTCAATGCTCACAGACACTGTGGTGATATTTCAGCACTGTTACTATTATTAATACATCAGAAAATTCCTGCAACATTCACTGCATCGTTACTGAAAAGCAGAAAAACGGGGTCCCTGCTTAATGACTAAAATGTCAACTGAAGCTGGATTTTTTTTTTTTGAAACTGGAATAGCTGCCACTGTGAGGCCATTATTATCAGTTAAGGACATTCAGCGTGTCAGTGATTACCTGCAACACTAACTTCAAAACATAGAAGAGTAGGCTGCAACCGTTTAATCAGTAATAAACCTGGCACCTTTAATTTATTTAGATTTTTAAACGTATTTTTTGCCTAAATATAATTCGTTCATGTTGGCAGAAGTTATAAACCACAGGAGCAAAGCACACGTATCAGTTAAGTAACACCAGATGGAAGAACTTTGAAGTTTGCAGAATAATGAGGAGGGAAAAAAAAACAATGTGAACACTTTTTTTTTAAATTTAAGAGCTTATTTGTAGCCATGCAAGACGAGAAAGCAAATGTGTCTTGTTGTGCATAATTACACTTTTATCCGTTATTATTATTTATCTAACACAGTCACAGATCCCGAAATATGGAAATCAACACAGCTCTGCCAAGAACAAATCATGAAGGTAAACACCAGCAAGGTATTTCAAAAGTATGAAATTCGACAATTTAAAGGTGAAGTGTTTGCATGTTAAGCAGGGTGGTTCTGAGAAAAGTGTGTGTGCGCAACAACATCTCCCAAGTCTGAGTGTCTGAAAAGTCGAAAACTGCTTGAAATATTCATGACCTGTTTTTTTTGGTAAGAGAGAAATATTGTTCTTTTTTAGATCCTTCTGTAGGCAGAGGTGCCACCTGAATACTGAACACCAGCTACTGATTTCTTTGTCTTACTAGATGTCGGTGTTTGCTAGTCGCAGGCGGTCACGTCACTTCATTTTTCTAATTTTATCCCTAAGTAATGAGCTGCTATTGCCACGTGGAAGAATTGGCCAATAATTAGCGTCTTAACCTGTGACTGATTGTGAAATGTAACACCCTGGGCAGGTGCAAAGATGTAAAAATACCAGAAATAACATCAGCAGCCAGATGAGTCATGAACGTTAATACACACAATAATGTGGAAACGATTGCAGAATTATGTGCGATCATTTCAAAAGCAAACTTCTTAGCGACTTCTCGGCTGCTGAAAGCTCCTATATCGTCGGCTGAATATATTACTTTGATTTGTCGACGCGCACAACTCAAAAATAGCTGCGGAGCTGTCAACCCACCGATATAGCAGCTCCAGCAACCAGCTGTCAACGTTGATACGTCGAACTGTTTTTCAGACGCTCAAAACAGGCAATTACCAACAGCCTGAACGTGAGTGTTTCTCAGACTGGGGTGGTAAAACGGAGCTGCAGGTAACGAATTTAAAATAAAATTCAAAATGAAAGTCTTCCAAGACTTTTGGGGGGCTGAGCTCTGTCAGGGCTGTGCACACTGGAGAACCTTTCCAGCAAATTATCAGCATGATGAATCCAGTGAGCTCAGATACTGTCCTGAGATATTAGCCAGCAATGTCCTGCTGTCAGAATATTATCTGAACTTTTTCATACATGTTTAATTCAATTTTAATTATAGGTTTAGTTGAAACAATCACACGTACAAATCTAATATTGGCCACATGATCTGGAATCACATATCAGTTTTTTGCCAGAAGGTGCAAATAAAACAGTGATGACTTTCATGTTTTATGCCGTCTATGAGGCCATAATGTTCTTTAATGTACCGTCATGGATCCGTGACTCAACATCAAGGTTTGATTATTGCACAGAGAAAAGGTCAGAGCAGCAGAGTGGCTGTGAAGCCCGACACAGACAGGCTGACTTACGTCACCGGTGTATTGAACCTCATCAACAGCGTACTTCTCCTTGAAGTGCTCTTTAGGAAAGATCCTGTCAACAGACGAGAAACACACGACTGATGAAGGGCAATAAACATAAAAAAAAAAACAACAACATAGAAATATAGTCATTAGGCTTTTTTTTGAGGATCACCTTCTCAAATATAACAGATGGGTTCTGACCAAGAACCCAACACATTAAAGTATGACCACATAATGCATGATAAATGTCAGATGAGGTTTATAGGAAAAGCAAACGTGATGTGTTTAGCAATTTACATCCACAACATTACATTTAGTTATTTCACGGATTACTATAAAACCTTGGAGTCTGGAACACAGCATGCGTCTTTCTTTAAATCCACAGCCTGTTCTCACCAGCGAGCAAAACAGCATTCGGCTTTCAGAGAATGTCGCCGCATATCTAAATTAGGATAATTTCTTTTCAATTTCACCTCACTTTTAAGTTGAGTATTGCAAGAGGATAAATAAAGTCCAAAACAAGCAAGAAATCTAACTTACAGAGACAATTTATTTGAGCAATTTACCCTGCGTAGCGTGTGAATTGGCAATAATAAAGCAGGCTTTTGTATCAGTGTTGTCAAACATGTCACTGGGGTGGTTCTGGTGATGACAAAAATATTAAGTCTCAACTAGTTCTTGGCTGCATTTATAATAAATTAGATGGAAAATAGGATCTTAAGGTGGAGAACTTAATTGTCAGCGCCTCTCTTGAAGAAACAGCTCACTGTTGGACGTGTGCACAGCTCTTTGAGGATTAGTGTGACTCACTCTCCCATCCAAGTAGCATAGCTTTCAGGCAGTTTAGGAACAAAAAGAATGGATTTTCCAGAGTCCACATCAATGGCTCCATAGCAGTCAGCCTCAGTCACTCCAAAAGCCCAGTGGAAGAAAGACTCCTGCACATGTGAAAGAATCAGTGACCGTTTTAGAGAGCTAATGGTGATCAGATTATTACATATATATAAGAAGTTTCCTTGATTTGGTTAGATAGGTGAAGAGATACAAACTCAGAGCTTAATATCAAAACACTACCTTCCATGTGCTCATTGATTTTTGTCACAACCAGTTATAGATTATCCTATGTAGTCGTGAGAGAAAAATTAGGATCATAGACAGGAGGGATTTCTTTGTAGTGTGGCAGGAGGACGTACAGATTTGTGACAGTGTGACGACACTGTGAATGCCAGAGAAGCTCAGAACTCAGCCTTGACCAGTTGAGGTCTTTATGCACTTTGACTAAATGCCTGGTGGCTTGGGGGATCATGGATAGATACATAAATGCAAAACCACAGACTACCCACCTGCCTGAAGAGGAGGTCCGTGTCGGTGCAGTGCCTCTGCTTCTGCTCTCCCCCCTGCAGCACCACCACTGACTTTGACACCACTCCATCTTTGGCTTTCAGCCCCTGGCACAGTCGGCGACGGTTCTCAGCAAAAAGGGCAGCAGACACCCTCAGGGTGTCATTACCCAGCCAGTAGACAGGTCTGAAAGGACAAGGAGACAGAATATCTCAGGGTGGAGCGCTGGTTGGAGGGACCTACACTGAACTGGGGGATTTGGATCCAGATTAGAATTGGCCCGTCATAAAGAGCATGAGCCTGAAACCAAAGCTGTGAAACTGTGGCTGCCCACACAGCATTACAAATGAGCCAATATGACTATCATAACTACCATTGTTGTTTTACATGCTATTTTATTATTGTTGATAGTTTATTATGAATATTTTTTAGGCTAAACATAGATGTTATTTGATGCTTTAAATTCTATAGCAGTAGTTTGACATTATTATCTTTCTCTTTATGTGAAAAGGAAAGAAAATTCTGTGAACAAATCCAGCAGAACCACTTCTCTGCTCAGCAGGGACAGAAGACCTGCTATGTTTCTACTTCTGTCTGGCGGTAATCCGCAGGATTTGGTCAGTAGATTTCAGCCTAAGAGGTGGATGAACCTCGGCTCCAGACTTCCCTCAGAAACAGTTCAGACATAAGATATAGACCGACATACAACCTTGTAACTGATAGGTTTTGAACATAAATCTTGGTCTCTGGCCGTGGCTTTCTGATAAGATAAAAATCACTGCATATCTGATTCAACCCGGCCCGTACCAAAGGTTAATCCATAACCTCACTGAATTTTATGGCTCAAGGATTGTGCATCATTCACTGTCGGCAGGTTTAGCTGCGTATCTGTGAGGATAGATCCACCTCACGGCTGAGGTGGCAAATTATGTTGTTATCATTTGTTGAATGAGGCTGATACAAAATTGCAGTGTAAACAGTCTGCTCAATAACAGCTCAGGGAAAAAGTTTAAACTGTGTCAGGGAGTTACTGATTAGACGACGGTAATGTTGTGTGCGTAGTTTCAGGGGTTGTGGTGGATTACACAATACTGTAAGATGTACCTGCTGTTCTCTCCAATCTCTGGAATCTGTCAACCACCAGCAGCGATCAAGTCATGGATGCTGACTGCTGACATTTTTATGATTACCTCAGCAGATTCTGCTGCAGTTGTACTTAATAATCACAGAAGTCAGTCTGGCCTGCGTCGTCACCACAAGAAAATTTAGGATGTTTTACTCATGTCATCTTGACCACCAGAAAAAGCACAAAACACAGAGTTATACTGTTTTCCCACACTGCAGCAGTTCATTGACAGTCCTGTGCAAACACTTCAGGCACTAGAAGTAGGGATGCTTTCCAAGATAATGCCATGATTAGTTTTGTGTTGCACTAAACTGAACCAAAACAGAAATTCAGACTTTCTTAGACTCGTCAGTCTGATCCTATGATCTGGACTGTTTCTGCACATCCTGGTGTTGGAGTTACATCCTCAAACGTATCGTTACCATTCAGAATCACACACAAAACACCTGTATGTATGCAAAAGAAGAGCTGGAATGAATTACAGTGAAGCAACAGTAGATTATTGCCACTAGCAACAGACAGCTGGAGGAATATACATATAATATACAACACAAAGAAGATTGTATTCAAATATGGGATCCCAAAGGAAGTCTGAGGTGTCAGGATGAAGGATTGAAAATTACTTTTCTAATTTCTTTCATCATTTTTTCCAATCTTTTGTAATGCTTAATACCTTTAACTTCTTCTGACCTTTAAAATGTATTTAAATTTTTTTTTTTTTTTTTTAAACATAAATGAAATCTCTTTTGCGATGACAGGTAAAAAGTAGGCACAGCTTTATTCTTCCAAAAGTTGCGTGTTTACCATAGAAAATCATATGATTGTGAAAGTCCCTGGAGATCAGCTGTTAGTTTTAAAACTGGAAGCGAGCTAAATTAGTTTGCAGCTGTTTCTGTGCCATCTTCAGTTTTAAAAGTGAAATTAAGATTTCAAACGCTTTCCATTTGACCTGACGTGAACATTTGTTATTCAAGCTTCATAAAGGCCTTTACCAACATCATCACCGAGTCTAGAGTTTAGAAAGTTCTCTTCATTCTGCGAAACCACTTTAAAAATCACCGCTGCTTTCATCGGTCGGATAATTAAGTGTCAGGTCTCCATGGCAACAGCTCAGCTAAACGACACGCAGTCAGACGGTTGAAGCCGTAAACACTCTGTTTATCATCTGAGCTGAAAATAAATAAATTGTTATCAGTTTAATCGTTGTCATGAAACGCAAAAGTCAACTCACTGCGGTGCTGCAGCCATGACGGAACTGGGAATCCACTCTGTCACGTGCTCCCGGAATCACGTGACTTTTCTGGGCTCCGCATCAGCTGACGTGGCGTCGTGCTGCATTCAAGTCTCTAGGAAACGGCAGAGGGCTGCGTTCAAAGACACTTTTGAGGTTTTATTTTTGTGTTCGGCTGTCGTTCGCAAAGCGCTGCCGTCCGCAAAAGTAAATACCATGGCATAGATTAAAAACACGAATAACAAGACGAAGCAACAAAAGGAGAAAAAGCATCATAACAGTTACAGTAAATGAGCCGCTTCTGAAAATAGTAGTGAAAAATTCTTGACCCGTAAAATGCCACATTATTAAAACTGCTTGCAATACAATGCAATAAGGGAACAGCAGGTAAACAAACCCCCCTTTCATTACACAGATATATAACAACAACAACAACAACAACAACAACAACGAGAAGATGTCAGCTAACAAGTGCAGAGAACACAGGATCCATCCATAACATGTCTTGTCAGACTATTTCTAGATTTCTTACATTATGAATACATTATTACATTACATTAGCTGTTTGTAGGCAATGTGAAAGTAGCTTCTTTGTGCCTTTTATTAAATGAATGTAGCGTAAACAACCATTGACATTTGATCTTATTGTTTCTATATATCAACTTTGATAATAGTATTAATAGTGATAACAAAGAACAAATTTTTATTAAGATATCGTAGCCTTTTCAACTAACCTTATCAAGACTTTTCTTTTAGTTTTATTATAACGAAGTTTAAATTAATTATGATTCACTTACCCTCTAAATCTGATCACTTATGCATGCTTCTTGTGTGCATATTATATTGGTATTCAAAATATATAATTCCTAAAGAAAAACAGACCTTACTCTTAAGGGGCACATCTTGCCCTGGTTTATCCTAAAGGACCTGATACACAGTCATTTACATACAGACATCATCCAGCTCTCAGCCTCATTTGTTCAAGCAGTATCTCCACGTTTAATTAAAAAGAGGAATAGCACAAACAACACGTCATTTCCAGTGAGATTCTGGTTTGTGCCTTTTTTCTTTTCTTTTTTTTTTCCATCATGTGCTGAGAAAGTGAAATTGTCAAATGTCATGAATATAAATGAGCCCACAGTAAGAGAATTAGAATCAGTAAATAATCTGTAATCTGCTGGGAGCAGAAATGAATTTATACTTTCACATGCATACGTGACAGGATGCTGTCATTTAATTATTTGATCATAAATGTTCTTACTGGTGCCACCACACTGAACCATGTCATTGTTTACAAGTTAGAACTCAACAAAAAATGATTAATTTTTAATCTACCAGCTGCCCTGAGGTTAAAAAACTCACTAAACACAGGAGGCAGTCGTCAATACAGTAATGAAATAAATGCAAGACAATGCACTGTGTATGTTTTTTTGTTTTTTTTTCCCCCAGAAGGCAGCGAGTGTGAGAGAGTGACTTTTGGCGTTTACATGCACTTAAACTTCAAGTAAACACTTTCTGTTATATAAATTTTCATTTCAGTCCAACAGCACAAAATGGTTCAGTTGCCACATGTGGCATCTTGTCCCTCTTAAAATTTTAATTTTCTAGAAACAAAGTGAGATGTGAGACCTACAGAAGCACACACACAAATCTTTCGACAGTTCGCCGTCCTTTTTGATTTGACTCTGCAGTGGTGCATTTACAGTAAAAACAGTAGGGGGAGATGCAACTCTCCTTTAACACAGTGCAGGGGGGTTTTGTGAAATAATTAATTATTACGAGCGACTGCAGCTGCACGATGCAGGTAGTGTCAAACAATGTGTCATGAAAGACAGCAGCCAGACCGAGATGACAGATTGTCAAGAGGGTTGACACACCCACCGTGAGACATGAGCAGCTTTTTACTGGGATAAAAGGTACATGTCTAATGATAGGTAACGTGGCAACAAGATGTTATGACTCCTGTCTGTTTATTCTGAAAGAAAATTTTGAATAGCTTCATAAACACTTACAGTCCAGGTAGATGGAAGTTATCCCTCTTTATTTTATTTTATTATTTTTTACCTTTGTGGAATTGTGTAGTAAATTTGTGAAGTTTGGAGGAGTGTTCACTATAAATTGATGAAACTTCTGGACCAGCTACGTAGCCAATGAGAATAAGTATTTGCAAATGTAATTTTTTTTCATGTCCAAACTTCTTTAAAAGTGTGCATGGATTATTTGGACTCTGAAAATGAGCACTGAACACTTATTTAGATTTTCAGATATTATTAATAAGACTCGTAACCTTTCTACAACCCGTTCTGCCAGTGTGGTCTCTAAACTAAATGAGGCCATTGCTCTCAATAAGTTGCGCCTAATTTGAACTAGAGGCCGTTTTTCTCCGTACTCATTATATTCATGTGCGTACATTTGGCACTTTCAAAAGGCCAATGTATAATCCAATAGCAGCCGTCCTTGTTTTTCTCCTAAAACATGTTAAACTTGCAGAAATGTCAGTTTAGTCCATAGAGCAATCAGTGGCTTGCTTCACGCTGTTTCCTGTCACACCACAGGAATATATCCTCCTGTTACACTCTCATAATTTTGTTGTTCCCCCTAAGTGGCCCCCTGGCAGAGAGACAGTGTTTCTGCTGGTAGTACAAAGGAAGACTCGGGGACACCAGGCATCAAGCCACCACTGTCACTGTAGACTGAGTGCCAATTCCCCTGCATCCTAAATTTTATCTCTAGTGCCAGCTGTACGTTGCGCTGATACAGTTCAACAGCTCGACTTTGAACTCCAAACCTCAGTCCTTGCGGGCTTTGGACATTTGCAATGGAAGGCGGCGCTTCCAGTGTTGCCAACTCCTCAGTAAGGAAAGTAGCTATTGGCTGTCCTAAAAGTCACAAGAAGTAGCTAAATGATGTCATCACCTCATTTGCATAATTGTTTGTATGTGATTGTAATGGCCGCTGTAGGAGAGAGGAGCCATGGGAAAGACAAAACGTGAGTTAATAAAACTGTGTCCTGTATTGTTAAAGAATAGAATATCATATTTAATCAAACAGCTGTAATGTGAGGTGAAACTGGCAGCTTTACGTCCAACCCTCCACCTGTGTCCGAGCTTGGGACCCAAAATAACCCAAAGACACTCTGGCAGAGTTACTTACGGTTTTTGTTTTTTAGTTGTTGGATTTCTTTTTTGTTTTTTCTGACATGATGAGCTAGCTAGATGTTTAGCTTATGTCACAGAGAGGAACACACAGTGGACAAGGTGAGGTCGTGACTGAGGCTGTGTGAGTCAAATGATTTATTTTACTGTGACAGTGAAGAAACTTTTACATTCAGATCTCCCTCTGAAAGCCAAGCTGGGATCTGCAGCGGCCTAGCACATGCGCGATTCATTTGAGGGTGTCCTCTGATCCGACTGCAGCTGCGCAGGACTTCCGACCGCCTGGGAGAGCTTCAGGGAGGGCAGGAGCTCACGGGAGCACCTGCTGCTCATTGAGGACAGTAACGGCACAACGATACGTGCTTTTCCAGCAGTCTCCAAAACACCAGAAAAGTCTCCAATAACACTAGAAAAAGTCACTAGATTTGTTGCGAGTTCCTTTTGGAAAAGAAAGTCGCCAACAAGATTTGGAATGTCGCCAGATTTAGCAAGAAAGTCACCAAGTTGGCAACACTGAGGGCATCTTCAAAGACTAGGGCGTCCATCCATCCATTATCTATACACCACTTAATCCTCACTATGGTCGCGGGGGGGTTGGAGCCTATCCCAGCTGACTTAGGGTGAGGACACCCTGCACAGGTCGCCAGGCTGTCGCAGGGCTACACTTAGAGACAGACAACCAAGCACACTAACATTCACACCTAAAGACAATTTAGAATCACCAATTAACCTCAACATGTTTTTGGACTGTGGGAGGAAGCCGGAGAACCCGGAGAGAACCCACACTACACCCAGAGAACATGCAAACTCCACACAGAAAGATCTAGGTGTCCTCACCAGGGACGTGTTTAGATACTTAAACCAAGTCTCCATTCTTTCTCAGTGGCTAAAACAAAAGATTTCATCCTTAACAAACAACACTGACACTGACGACGGCATAGGTGCAAAAGTGTATATTCCTCCTTCCACATGAAACTACTTCCCCCAATCATTTTGACAAATAAGCTGTTCTTGCCCTATTAAATAAAGCCCCAGGAGTTTTCTTTGCATTCAGCATCTAATCCATAGAATAATGGACCTAGTTACTGTATACTCCAACGGATGCAGAGGCAACATATTGGTAAATCTTCCATCTTGCCCACAGAAAGAGAAGTGTTGTAACATGGTATTGGAGAAACAGCCGTTCTTGTATCTCAGTGTATTTAGTTGTACTTTGGCAAAATATGATGTGGATACTCTGGATCAATTCACTATGCAACCTTTAACAGCCATTTTTCAATTAAAACTCTAAAGATAGGTCAGAATATCTTCAAGTTCCTCCCAAAACCTATCCAACTTTTCTCTCACAAAATGTTTCAGTCAATTAGGTAGATAGTGAAGTGTGGCGACAAGCACTACTGACTAAGATTATTTACTCTAGATGACCAGAAGAGGGTTTAATTAAAACACAAAAAGCTGCCTGCAGGCAGATGGATTCTTGCTGAGTGGCCTCTTGCTGTAATACCTTCTGGTGAGCGTGTCTCAGACACGTGTCCACAACAGAAATTTGAACTTCTGCCACAAGCATTCAAACCATCATCTAAACAAAGCCTTAATATAGTTCATTTTCTTTAAAAGCATGGCAGACATTATGCCAACTGTATTACAACTTCTACAGGAACACAGGCAACAGCTGTATCCATCTGACTTACTGATAGAAATGGCTTGAAATTGTCTTTTTAGACTTTGCTTATGTCTTTACACCCATAATATCTAATTCACACACAAGGGAAATGCATTTATGAGCTTAATTTGGTGGCTTCCTTCCAGCTCTGATCTTAAGCTTAAGTCACTTGCATCAGTTGTACATGAACTGTATAAATTCCAGTAAAGATAATAAATTAGAATTTAGATAA